AGGACGCCAAAATATCTTTCCGATCGACAAATGCCTTGATTGCAGTTCTCTGTTTGTCTATTAAAATTAATGCGCTGTCGATTTATTTTACAAAAGACGCAACAGCAGAATCTATAATCTCAATTCTCCAGCTGCAGTCATCTCTTTGATAATGTGATGATTACGTCCCTGCAGATCATCTGTCAATCATCGTATAAAGCCCGCCCTGGCAATCTGATTGGCCCGATCATTTTTTGCCTGATCATAATTTCTCCTCAATGGATCGAGTCCAGACCGAACTTCCCGACCAGAAAATGTTGTGAGCGGAGTTCAGGCTGGCATCCAGGCTAGTCATCATCTAACAAACAAGCACGAGTGGTACCTTGGTCACTGCCTGATAACCAAGACAGATAACGGATGGAGAGAAGTCAACAAGCATTTAGAGAGAATGAGTGATCTCACCAACGAGTGTGAAACTGGTCTCAGATCTGCTATTTGTGTCCTTCGAGGAGCAGTAATAACTGCAGGAATTGCGATGGTGTTGTCAGTATTATCTTTCATTTTAGATGATGAAGATGTTTCTGAAATGTTTGCTGGAGCCGGGATAGCTGTGGCTGTAGTCTCTGTATTGTGTGTGTCTTTTGGGATGTACAAGAAAACACAGCAGGAGAAGAACTTAAAACGAAATATTGAAAAGGAACGTAAGGGATATCAGGATAAAACTGGCCTTATTATTGACATACTGGAAAAAATATGTCACTCTACTGAGGAAACACTGAGAGATCTTTCTCTATCCGAGCACAAAGCCCGGGTTTTAAGTGAACATTTCTCTCCGGCTTTGGGAAAACGCAGTTCTTTCAGGAACAGGACAGTAAAGTGGGAGACATGTCTAAGTTTGGGCTTTTGTCTGGAAAGCTTTCAGAAATGATGTCCAAGGTTAGTTCTGTGCCTGAAATCCTCAGAGAGATTCTGGAAGAAGACAAGAGGAAAAAGGACAAGTCTGCAAAACTCACACATATACAAAGACACACGATGGAGATTAAGCAGAAAGCAGAAACTTTTATTCATGATATGCAGAAAGAAATTTTACAGTTCAAAAAATCAGCGAAAGAAATAAACAGAATAATAGACAGATTATAGAATATTGAACATATAAAACCTGACAAAATGAAAAAGTATGAACTACTGAGACAACATGATACTGGTTTTTCCTCATTATTGATCAAAAGAAGTGAATGCTGTCATTTATTATGTAGATCATATGTATAATTTCCATTACACAACATGCAATAAAACACACACTCAACTGTATTTGAATAAAAAAAATGCAGAAAATAATTGTATTCAACCCATTACTGTCCTCATGGAAAAATGGAAAAATAGGAAAAACCTCAAACTTTACCAAAACAATTGAAAAAGAAATAAACAGAATAATAGACAGATTATAGAATATTGAACATATAAAACCTGACAAAATTAAAAAAGTATGAACTGAGACAACGTGTTACTGGATCCACAGAGATCAACACAACTAGCAAACTAGATCACATTTAATTGAACATACCAACATTACATCGTCCTACGACTGCTAACATTGTTAAAAGTTAGAGATATTTAGGATATCTTAGAAAAAGTTATTTTTATTTTTGATAAAGAAAAAAATATAGTTTGGTAATTGCAGAGATTCAGGAGAGACTGTTTTTCCTCATTATTGATTAAAAGAAGTGAATGAGGTTTTTTTTGTGTATATTATGTACATCATATGTATCATTTCCATTACAAAACATGCAATAAAACACACACAACTCTATTTGAATAAAAAAAATGCAGAAAATAATTATCTTTAACCCATTAATGTCCTCACCAAGAAAAAAAAAATGGAAAAACAGGAAAAACCTCAAACTTTACCAAAACAATTGAGACGTTACTTTATGGTACATGCAAAAGTATTTATAAATTATAGGTTTAAATGCCAAATAAAGTCATTTTCATAGAACTCTCTAATTTTAAAATTTAACCAAACTTTCCTTTTATTTATTTTTACAAATTCGACCTTAACAATAACTTTTATAACTGCTGAGTTTAAAAATAACTTTTACAATATATTTTATATTTAACAGTATTTTTTATTAAAAAAAAACCATATGAATACATAGTATAGTATCTTAATTTGTGTACCTTTACTTTAAATATCAATGAACCATTTGGTTGAAAATAAGGTTTTTTTCATAACATCTATTTTATAATAAAAACTGATATCAGATACTGTTTAAAAACACATTAATAAACATTAAATAGTACATAAAATATTACAAAAAGTGTATCTGTGAGGTTTAGAGTAACTAGGGCTGGGCATTGACACACATTTCATGATCTGATTCCTTGAAGCTTGATATAAAAGCAATTTAATATTATAATATAATATTTAAAGATTATTAACAACTGATTTGAATACAGTTGCATATAATAACATTTCTATACCAATATTTTATTAATATTGAATGTTATGACAATACTCAAATATGAATATGTAATGTAGTGCATATTTTTGGCATAGAGTACATTTTTTAATGAGTTTTTGGACATTGTAAGAAAAATTATGTATGTAGTATGTTTAAAGGAACAAGCCGACTTTTTGGGACTTAGCTTATTCAGTGTGACTATACAAATCACAACATGTAAATACAAAAATGTTGGTGTTATTTTGTCACTTATTGGGATTAGTATGCTAGCTGGAGCCATTTACTTCCATTCTTTGTGCTAAGCTAGGCTAAGTGTGTGCGTCAGACAGAGTTACAGCACACACGGAGATGAAAAGGGTGTGTATGGACTTATCTATGGGGCGAATTATGAGCCATAATTAAACAAACAAATACAGCATTTTGTAAACAAACTCAATCTGTTTGCCAAAGGAAAAATTGACTCCAAAACAAACAAAGCAATGTTAAAATACAAAGGTAAAATGCCACCACTGAAGAAATTTTGAAATTCATACATTAAGGCATGTTATAATGCAACTTATTAGGCCTATATATTTATAGAATAGCAAAGTATGACTAATCAATATACAAAACTGAACCACATTGATAAAGGCTATCATGATCATTTTGCTAACAATGGATTTGTTTAGTTTATAATACGTTTTATTTCTAATTTCAACAAATAAAACGTACAACATTCAAAACTCGTCGGCTTAGACTGCATTTTTCTGTAGCCTTATGCGAACTTATTCAATAGAAATTAGACTTCTAGAATATTCTTTCAAGTGCAAAATATATTATCTTTAATTTAGTAGTGTTTCTTATCATAGCCTACAAATGTTTTCGGAAACTCATTTTCCTCGATTTACTGAAGCCTGTATGTAAAACGCATTTGCAGCTGCACATCCAATGCCGTGGGCACCAAGTCCCCAAATTTTCCATTATAGCAGGTCTTCGTTCATTCATAGTCTGTCTGACATATATTAGAAGCTGTGTGTCTGTCATGGATTTGCACTGAATTGATTCTCAAAAATACAAAACAAATTGTGTCCGCATCAGTTCAATACGGAACAAGACATTTATGTGTCAAATGCGGGATGATTCAGTATTATACAGAAAGGTTGGCAACCGTAGCTGAGAGTGATGAAAGACTGTTAACTAAAGTCTTTATATGGAGATTATTTGAGCATGTTTATGCAAATTACTAATCCCAGGTGTGCAGTTCACAGAAATATTCACAAATACAAAATCAATTAACTGTATAGAACAAAATCATTTCAGAGAAGTTTTCTTGTGCATATAAGCCTCTTTCTTCACTTAAAGGTAGTGTAGGTCAGAATTAAAAAAAAAAAAACTTTTTTTTCCCAAATTTCTTTAAACTTTCTGTATATATCAATGCATAATTAAAATGTAAGTACTCTGAAAAAGAAAGTAAAAATCGAGTGTCTGTAGACCTCTCACGACTGTTTTAAAGACAGCTCATTATTTCCATTCACTTCAACCCCCTCCCTTCTGGGCTCCTTCCAAAGCCACGCCCCCAAAACACATGAACGCGCGACTCCGACAGCTGAGCTGAAGACGCATTATTTACCTGAGACGAGCGGAGAGGAGAGGAAGGAGTGCATGTAGTGACATCATGTCAGAAACACATGTAGGCTAAATAAAAAAAATCTAACTATCATTATGAAGATTAACAAATAAGTTGTATTTTATTACTCACTAGCAAGCTAGCATATTGATATTGGTAAAGTTTACAATATATATTTATTAATTCGCTAACGAGCTAGTTATCTATAAGGCAATGCTAAAAATAGGTTGCATGATACACGTTTTTCCATTGCCATCATTTACACTGTGATGAAGATGAATTTCGTGTAAGATTCATAACATATAAATGGTGTTCTGACTGCATGTAAGAGTTTGCTTGATGAAAGCATTGTTGATTCTGACGACGACTCCCGAGACAAGTAAGTTACCCATAGACAGTATAAGAAAGCAAGTACCGCATCGTCAGCTCGAGGACAGATCCGCAGTAGGGGTTCAATCTTCAACTGGCTGGCAGGAGCCGCCACTGGCAGGTCACGTGACCTGTCAGTGGCTGACTGGCAGCTGCCAGTGGCTGGCTGGCGAGTCTAACGCGTCGCCTGACACTCTCGCTAAAAGGAAATAAATTGTTTTCTTATTATGAATATAATGTCATGCCTTTATTTTTGTGTATGATTGGTATTTTGGGGCCGTTTATCCCGATTAAACCAGTCAAATGGCCGTGATCAGGCACATTTGATTGGTCACGTAACATGCAGCCAGCCACTGGCAGCGACTGGCAGCTGCCAGTCAGCCACTGACAGGTCACGTGACCTGCCAGTGGCAGCTCCTGCCAGCCAGTTGAAGATTGAACCCCCACTCCAGATCCGTGGTCGAGGGCGAAGCAGAGGCAGTCGTGCTATTAGGGTCCGAGGAAGTAGAGGCTGAGGACGGGGTGGTCGAAGTGCAGGGCAAGGAGCAATTTTTAGACAAGAGGACCTGCGTTGAGTTTTGCATCTTCAAGCTCAAACAAGAGCATGCGAACAGGTACGATCTGGATACGCGCAAGTGGGCAGGTCTTGTGTGGCAAAAGGGTGGTTGCCATGGTTGCGAGAGAGTGACAGTCGCCTAAGCCAATCCGTTGTTTCGTCCCGGTTTGAAATAATGAGCTGTGTTTAGTGCAGATTAAACGGTCGAGTCACTCGATTTTTATACTCTTTTTCTCAGAGTACTTAGATTTAATTATGCATTGATATATATAGAAAGTTTAAACAAATTTGGAAAAAAAGTTTTAATAAAATTCCGACCTACACTACCTTTAAGCTCACATTTAAATCAGGAGAATTTTGCTTGCGTCTCATACAGGTTATAATCGTTAACGAAAACTAGGTGGGAAAAAACATGGTCGTTAACTGAAATAAAAATAAAAACGAGGGATTACAAAAAAACGATAACTAACTAAAACTACAATGTGTGTTTGCAAAACTAACTAAAATAAAATAAAATTATAGGGTAAATGTCCTTAGTTTTCGTCTTTGTCAATGTCCTTAATTTTTAACGCTATTTAAAACACGCAGTGTATTCGTTCAGCAGCATTTCATGCTCTTCCTCCGTCTCTCATCTGTCACATTTTGTCAGTGTGTGTGTTAATGTCGACCCGAGAAGCTTGCGCTTTCTTTGGAAAGTTAACTTGTCACAGATTTGAGGTAAAATGCACTCGGGTTGTCGGTGTCAAAACACTAAGCTGTGATTCAAATGATGATGATATCGTATATCATATATTATATATAGGGCTTGACATTAACACCCGCCAACCCGCCAAATGCGGGTGGATTTCACGCGTGGCGGGTAACACGGTCACTCCCACTAGCCACTTTGGCGTGTTGAAAAATTGTAGTCTTGTCAAAGACATCTGACATAACAAACGAATTTGAAATTTATCACTACGACACTACAACTCCCATGAGTACTACCTGCACATAGTCTAGTGTTTGCTCATTGGTCCATTCGCGAATCCTCTTGAACGACAACTGTAAACAAGAAGATACGGAGATTAAACTTGCGGACTGGCCGTCGGACTGAGGGCTGTTTTCGTCTGCCCTTAATTATCAACTTAATGTGATGATATAGCGATATTTTTATTAGCAGGAGAATCCAGACCACAGACGCGTCTCACGCTCTCCTGCAGTGCCGCTGCGCGATGGTCAAATATGACATCCAGACTTTTGTCAAAAAAACGATCACACGTCGCATCGCACTGGTCGCATGCACACACATATCAAAACAGCGTTCAGTCAGTTCGTGAGTGTGCGTGGCCGATATAAAGAAAAAAATAATCTTCATGATTAAAGGACACGGTGTAGCCTAGCTACTAGCAGGGCTGCCCTTATGGCATGTCATATCACAACTATCTTTCCAGAGTTAATTCTATGTTTTAATAAAATTAATCATGCCATGAAAGAAAGCAGGAGATGCGTTTGTGGGAATAATCTGGAAATAAAGACTTGTAGGCCTATACTTGTTTCAGGTGGACATATCTCCAGTTACTCAGAGTTACCAGAGCTTCATGATGATAATTATTATGTCAGAGCTCTGAGGAAATGCTGATGCAAAACAAACAATCCAAAGTCCCTAAAACTGTCATATAGACCTATAAAAATGTTTTAATCCTGTTGCCTTGTTTGTGGATTTTTTCTTAAAAAAAATTTATATATATTCTTTGCTCGTTGTTTCTAATGCAGATAATTGTTCTACTCTGTATTACAGTATTTACTGCTGTAAAAAATGATGCAGCACTTTTATTATATACAATACAATAATAAGCTATTTTATGTGTTTATCTTAATAGACAACATGTTTTCGAAAAAGCAGTTTTACAACCTTATCAGAGCTAATGATAATATTAGTACATTTTAGTACGTTTTAAGCCCCATTGTCAACTTTAATCAAATAAAACATAATTTTCTAACAACAAAAATGTGGCTGGTCAAAATGCTGCGTGGCTAGTAATTTTGGAAAACTGTCAAGCCATATATATATATATATATATATATATATATATATATACTGTTTATATATTTGTAAATAAACAGTACAAATGTACTTTTTATTTTTTTTGTTGAATAGATATTTCTAAAATTGAATGATGTTTTTGTTGATTTATTATTACACAATTCTTTTTCTGACCTATTTGAATCTTGCCCCTGACAAATAACCCTAAATAAACAAAACAACACTAAAACTAATAAAAACTAAACTAAAACTAAGCATTTTCAAAAAATAAAAACTAAACGAAACTAGCAAACCAACTTTAAAAACTAATTAAAACTAAACTAAATTTGAAAACCAAAGTTCAAAACGAAATAAAAATAAAAACTAATGAAAAATACAAAACTATAATAACCATGGTCTCGTATCATATTTATATGTTTAAACTCAATTTCTGCCACCATTGGCCAATGCATTTCTTGTTTCTTGAATTACTGTCAAGACATGGCAAAGCTCTGTATGTGTTTTCCTCATCTGAGCGATGGCTTTGAGTACAGGGGATTGGACCTTTTCTGGATCATCTACTCTTCCCTGTCTCATCTGGTGAATCTCTATGGAATCTTTCACGATGTAGGCGATGTCTGATATGATTAATAGTCCACTCAACAATATTGAAGCTGCAGTGACTGCTGGTCCGACACCGGCAGACTGAACAGCAATTCTGCCGAAACCTTGTAATTGGAAATCACTGAACCTTGTAAGTTTTCTCAGTAACTTTCTCAGTGCTCTGAGTGACTGAAGAATCGGTTCACTTGCATTCTTGTAGTCCTGCTGAAGTTTTTCAAAGCTCTGACGGAGTGCATTTTGTTTGACATTATTGATAATGTCGGATGCTGCACTTGTTACACCTCTTCCAACTCCAACACTAATCCCAACACCAGCTACAATCAGAGACGCTCCAAATGTGAACAGTGACAAACCTACACCAACTAATGCAGTGATTCCTCCAGCGGCTCCGATCACTGAACCTGACAGCCTGCCTACAGTACATTTACGGTGGATCTCCTCTAGTGAATCTGTTGCTGTTTTCCACTCATTCACTGCAGTCTCAAAGTCTGTATAGTGCTCACTGTAGGCCTTATTAAAGTTATCAATGGAAGGCAATAACCTTCGTTGAAGGACTTCTGGAATCCTCCTGTTTCTCTCCACTGCATCTTCCAGGAATGGTTTATCCAGAATCTCATCAGCTGAAGGTCTCTCATGAGGGTCACGGCTCAGCATTTGTCTGATTAATTCCTTTAGATCTTCAGAGTAGATATTTGAGATTGTGGGTTTGGTTCCTTCCAAGCTTTTGGCATATAGACAGAGACGCTTTATGGAGTTAGACTGTCAGATAAAGGAAAAAAAAAAGTCTGATTAACCTCTAGATAATTAAAAAAATATATATATATATAAAACACTAAGACCTTTATTTATGTGACTAGATTTATTTTCAGACACTTTTCTCCAAAGTAACTTGCCATAGAAGAACAAAGGTAATTTGTTAAACCCAGCCAACATTATAGGGCTGGGTATTGAGACAAATTTCACAATTCGATTCGATTTCGATTCACAAGCTTGCAATTCGATTCGATTTCGATTCGATTCGATTCAATATCAATTATTTTGATATCAATTAAGGCAATTTTTCTCAAGGGAATCAAATCTCTTAACTAATGCTGTAAACTATGGGAGTCTAGTTGTAGCTAGTCTCAGCCTCAGACGTCACGCCCACGGAACGTTGGCTAAACGTCTGATGCATACTATCGAGAAGAGATTCAAGAGAAGAATAGAAGACGAAGGTAACTGCGAAACAAAACGCACAAACACACTTGCGGTTTTAGTATAAACACTGTTTAACATAATACGAATGAGCTGTATGAGAATGAGATGTTACCTGTTGTAAGCAGCTCTTATCACTTTATTAGTAGTTTGTAATGTGTGCGGCTGATCACTTGACTAGCCTGCTCCGCAATCCCGCGATATGTAATAATAAATTGTCAAAATATCGACGTAATTCGAATCAATAAGGTTTGATGATGTTGTTTTAGAGCTATAATTATCTTCAACTTGCATATTTGGTCATTTAACTCCTCTGTGATGTCTCTTGGTTTATTTCGTATCAGTATACTTTCAACTGAGAATTTTATGTATACTACTATACTAACTGCATTATTAGCCTATTTCACCAATTTCATGTTGTTATTTGGATTAAGGGTAAATATAAAAATATATTATTTTAGTGTTTATGTGTGACGTTACACCCTGTAAATCTTATTCTGCTTGAAAAAGAATATGAGTTATATTATTGTACATTTATACAGTATTTACTTTTTTCATAGGCATCTCTCCTCACAGGAGGCTGAGCAGGTCTTCCTTTCTGGTCTGGATTATCATTGCAGGTCAGAGTAGATTATTCATTATTTTTGAACAATGCCCAATGCACCCTTTTGTTACTGATAATTCTGTTACAGTGACACAACTGTGACTGTTCTCTGATAACTATTTCAGTGAAGTGGAAGATTTTAACTGACAAATTGACAAACAATTGAGGAAGAAAGAAAGGAGACCATTCAATTGTTGGCTGTTACTTTTACATTTACACATTTCAAGGTTGGAATTAGACGTCAGTAACATGAATATTCAATTTGACTCTCTCTCTCTACAACTCCAACATTTCATAACTGTTTAGTGTTAAATCAGAAATATATATTTCAGTTGAACATGTTAAACTCATTTGTATTTCTCTCTCTCTCTCTCTCTCTCTCAGAGTTGAAGCCATTCTTGCAGCAAGTGGTGGAAAACAGGATCTTTTTGGTGTTTTTGTGCTAGCTAGCATAAATAATTTTGTTCTTTCGTATAAAATGAATAAATACATATGTATATATAAATAAATTCATGCTTGAATTATTCTCGAGTTTTGCCTTCTGATATCTGGCCATATCATTTAGTGACTGCATGTGCTGATTCACTGTAAAAAATTTGGAGTAGGATTTACTTGAAAAAACCTTGCTAAACGATCTCACTCAGAAAATGCTAGTAAATTTACATTTTATTTTTCATTTTATCTTTACATAGTAAATTTAAATTTACAAGATTTGCCAAGTAAAAACCTAAACATATATCAGTAGCTTTAATTAGAAATCTTTAAGTTAAATTTACTTGGAATGTGGAATTAAGTAAACTTTACAAAAAATAAGTAATTTTAACTCGGCTTGTAAAAGGTTGATTAATACCGATTTCCTTTGCCTTTGTATTACATTTCACTAAAACAATTATCTTGAATTTTATTAGTCATTTATAGTATGTTCTTTACTTAGATCATCTAAGTAATTTATATATACTTCATGTCAGACTTTAAGCCTTATGTGAATGCAAACACCTCAATACTTGGTAGACAATACACAATGGTGTTAACATTTGATGGATCGTTTTTGTGTTTGAATGTGTCGTTTTAAGCAAAAACTTTACTCGAAATGTCACAAAATGGCAATTTACTAATACTGACAACAAAAATCAATGATAAAACAGTGTAAATACAGCTGGAAACCAGTGAAAAATGAACCTCATTAATTATTCAAGGTCCAGTGCATGATGGGAACCCCAGTATCAGAAAAGTTGAGTAATTTTTACTTAATTTTATTGAGTTGATATTACACTTTCATTTATACTCGCTTGAAATAAGTACTGATATGGAATTTACTTAGTTTTTTAAATTCTTGCCTGAACTAACTTTTTCAAGTAAATTACATTGGGTTTTTTCACTAGTATTTACTTCACCAAAAAATCATTTTTTACAGTGTTCCATCGTTATTTTATCTGATAATGAGCAAATTAGTTAAACTTAAGGAGGTTAATCAATATGTATAATTCAAGAAACTAAGACTCACACCACTTTTCAATTGATTAAAGATTGATATACATTTTTAATTTGTTTTGTATAAATTTACATTTTTGTAAATGCCTCTGATGCACAAAAACACATTTTATAAAAACACACCTGAGATTAAATATGTTTCGAACTATGTACGTGCAAACTAAAACAAGGGTCCTGTAACCGGGGTCCTAAAGCTGCAGCCTCCGATTGTGCAGGTATTTTTAGTGAATGTATTGCTCTGAACAACTGACATTGTTTATTTTAACAAAAAGTTATCACACTTGCATAAATGGGTCATTTTAGAACCATATGTGTAAACTTGATGTATTAACACAAAATATTACATTAAAAATTTCATTTGTGACCAAGATATTTTGAACTATGATGATATTTTGATATGTTAAACTCATAAAACCTGTACAGAAGAGGAAGCGAGAGATTTTTTTTATGTATTAGAATATTGTGCAAAAGTTCATTTATTTCAGTAATTCAACATAGCTATATGCCGTAATCATGAAATTTATAACACATAAAGGCTTGAAATATCTCACTTTGCACATAATGACTAATGAGTATATTATATATTAGTATCAGTTTTTAGTTGAATTACTGAAATAAATGAACTTTTGAGGTTTACATAAATTCCATTCTGCTGTTCTATTATTTGATTTCAAAGTAATTTGTTATAACAGGCATTAACAGGTGAATTCTTAATTTGTAAAAATGCAATATTTCTATAACCACATAGAAAGAAATGTTTCAAAAAAAGTTTTTTTTAATTATTTTTAGAAGGGATAACTATAAGTGCAGTTTGGATCCCATATAATTAAGAAAGTAATAAAAACTCGTTTTAGTTTAAGTATAGATGCTCCCTTATACCTTTATTATAGCAAAACCATGATTATTGATTACCATTTGTAACAGAAATACAAGAGAAATACAAAAATATTGTTTTATGGTACTTTGTTTACTTGTACTATATGTCATTAACTCACAAAACCAGTGAGCAATGCAGAGGTAACGTATTGTCTAATACATCTGTTAAAGGAGTGATTGTGATTTAGACGATACCAAGCCTGCCAAAGTGTCACAATTTAACTGCACCAATAATCTGTAGTGCCACATCTCTACACAAATAACCTCATCTTTATTATAAACCAATAACTGATGATAACATCCATAAACATATTCCGACAGGAAGCAGCGGCATTTTGCGCATGTGTACACGAATCACAACAAATCGAGCGCCGTGCCGTCTTTGGACATGGACGAGGCTTCTGACGTCACACTTGGATGTGGGCCGGTTTGGATATCCACCTCAGGATGCAGCGAGCTGTAGTTGGATTTCCGGGGGGCGTCAGTGTCGCGTTTATTTTCGATCCGCCGGGAAACAAAACGCAGACGTGTGATTGCGGAAGAAAAACTGTTGTGCTCCTCTCTAGAGTTATTTTTTCTAGCTGACTAACGAGTTAATGTGGGTTTTCTGAGGTAAATATGACGATACATTGATTACAAGCTGACGTCTTTCCACGGTTGAAACGCTGATTGAGTGAATCAATGTGACATGATCCGGATTTGGATAAGTTGTACTCTATCTTTAACACACTTTCAGATGCTCATTCATGTTTATTTGGCGCTGTGACTGGTATTATTAAGCCGGAAGAGAGATCAGCGCTGCTGCTTCTCCAGAGCGATCTCACGCCACAGCGACAAAACGCTATTTATGTTTTTGAGTTTCTAAAGAAAATGGACGTAATTTGAAAATTGAGACTTTGTTTCATATCAATAGTAACAAAGGACAAAGATTCTTGCGATTTTTTTGGATGCGCGCAGCCGCGATACAATGTCCCATTCATTCAAATGAAACAGGATGACTAATCGATTCTTGAGATTAAAGAATCGATATCGGTTTGTAAAAATGAGAATCGATAGCCTGGATGCCAGCCCGAACTCCACCCACAACATTTTCTGGTCGGGAAGTTCGGTCTGGACTCGATCCATTGAGGAGAAATTATGATCAGGCAAAAAATGAACGAGCTAATCAGATTGCCAGGGCGGGCTTTATACGATGATGGACAGATGATCTGCAGGGACGTAATCATCACGTTATCAAAGAGCGCTTGTCAAAGATGACTGCAGATTCCGCTGTCGCGTCTTTTGTAAAATAAATCGACAGCGCATTCATTTTAGGGACTGTTCGTTACTTATTTAAGGGGCCACCGGAGGAGATTTGAGATCTGTAGTCAAAAAAAGACTTGACCTTCCCCTCGCCAGCAATATTTTTTTCTATGACCCTCCAAAATGATTGTGAAAAAAGACATGACCCTCCCCGATAATTTGCGCTTGGCAAAGATGTTCATAGCAGTGGCGTAGCGTCTGGTCATGCAGGGTATACGTGCATATGGGCCCGGGCCGATAGGAGGCCCGCCCATGGGGAATTTTTAATTAAAACGAGGTAATTAATTTTTAAAGTGTAGCCACAATAAATATATTTTTGAATGCATGTCATGATATATTTCTATAGCGTTTTATTTTTACAGGAGTGCGGTGAGTCATTAGTTCGGCCTCTGTGCTCGCGCTGGCCATGTAAAAGCGGCTAATGGGTGAATATAAGTCTACATTCGCGAGATGGAGTATGTGCATTTGGCTTTTCATTCTGTGTATTCTTTCGAAACAGTTAAGCTATTTAGGTGGTACTAAAATCATGTTTTTGATGCGGTGGTGACGCTTGTAACAACGGCCATAATTAAAGCACCTAAGCTGTCACAAAGAACCGGCAAAAGCAATGATTATGAATATGTCAAATATAGCAAGGAGATATTTTAATTGTTTATTAATAAAGATGAAGTTGACGATGCTGACTCGCGATCTTTGCAGTAGGCTAGTGGATGCGCCAGTGAGAAATGCACATTTCATAAGCAGAGAGCAATCTTTTTGGTTTAGTTTCATTAATTTGAATTGTTCTGTTTACAAGTTAACATTTCAATATAGATATACGTTTGAGGTCTGTGGGGTAGGATATACTTATACGCTGAGTTTATATTTAGCCTAGACGCGCTCCGCACCGGCGCCTGCGTGTCGTGATTATAATTGTTTGCTTTTATTTCTTTTTTCTATTATGTATTAAATCCAGGCAATTTGTTGATTAAACATTGATTAAAATCAAGATAAAATCGAAAGGAAAACGAAATTCACTTTAAATAAAAGCTTTGTGCTTTTCTGTCTGAGGTCTGTAGAAGTTTTAAATCCGTCTTTTAGTGCCACTTCAGAGCGTCCACGTCTGAATAACGGAGAACTGTCACGTCTGTTACATTGTTTTTTCCTCATAAATGCGAACACGAAAAATAAAATAAGATGAATATTTTATGTTCTGTGGAGAGCCAACCCGTCCTCATTCGATTTGCGCAGTGTAGGCTAGTTCACAGAATTACAAAAATATAGGCTATATTTTGCCTCCAAAGTTAAAGATTTTTTGTCACGCATGAATGCATATTTCCTTAATATTAAATATAAAAACGCAGACTGATATTTTTCTAATATCTGGACTCCTTTAAGGGAGTAGCATGAATAAACAGATGTTTCAATATATTCGTTTAAATGCTTTTTTGAGAATTTATATTTCAAGTTTTGAGTGTAAATGGCACGTCCATAACGCTGGAATACCCCAATTTTATTTTGCATATGGGCCCGGGACTGACTTTCTACGCCACTGTCAGATAGCCATGATAAATGACTGAACTCCTGCTTTCTCATCTTACTATAGGGCTGCAACGATAGACCAAACCTACAATTCGGTTCGTATCACGAGTTTTGATTTGAATTTTTTTTTTTTTTTTTTTTTATCATATTTTCGGTGCTGATGCATTGGTGACGCGTTCATAACATGTAATTTTGCGCTCAAGTTGAAAGGCATTTTGTGCATAGTAAAACATATCTGCAACATTTATCAAGTTCATTGATAATTGTGCATGCATTTATTAATCATTATGATACTAAAATCATAATAAAGTAGCCTCACTTTCAATAGTCCAAATTCACAGCCATTTTCGCTTTTCTTCTGTGGATTTCTTCAGCTCCTGATTGATCAAAATTCAGATAGATCGACAAACCGGCTCATTCAACCGCACGGCACACCTCACGAATTCAAGCCTAGCTCCCGAACTTGTTAGACATGTTTAAAAATGATCGTCGAGAGGTCGAGAGGTTCGGCTCGGCTCGTAGCCTATCTTCCTAGCACACGACACGAGCCGCAAAATGTGAGCAATAAGAATGGAAACTAAAATATGGTCGTATCGTGCAACAGCGCACATTATATCAGCTGCAGTTCGGGCGCCTCAGTCCCAATACACTCGACGTATATTCACATCACATGTTAATGCAGCGGTAGAGTTACACACACAGGACAATGCAATTATTCACAATTACAAAAGTTCATTATTTGCTCGTGCTTTAAAGCTTTGCCGGGTAAACATTTCTTTGCCGTTCTGTTCTAATGCACTTTTTCTGAGCTGAAGCGCGCGCGGACTGTCAAACAGCGCCACTTAGATTTTTGTTGGGTCAGACCCATCTGATAGCGATGGGGGCCGAGACCGAGAGAGCTACATGGAGCTACATGGAAAAAATATGCACCAAACAAGCCACTTTCAAATTTACCTATTTTGATGAATACAAAAGTTGGGTGACCCTCCCCTATAGACTAAAAAAAGTTGGATGACCCTCCCCTCATCATAGAATAAAAAGACATGACCCTCCCCTATTTTCCTCCGGTGGACCTTTCCATAAATACCGAACGGCCCCTTACTAGACAAACAGAAAACTGCAATCAAGGCATTTGTCGATCGGAAAGATATTTTTGCCGTCCTTCCTACATGATTCGGGAAAAGTGTAACTTATCAGCTGGCTCTGACGGTCGTTAAGAAGATGGGACGTAATGAAAAGCCTGTGGTCGTTGTGGTTTCTCCTTTGGTGGCACTCATGGAGATGTAAGTAAAAGAAGCAACACTCGTTATTTAACTTCTAAAATAAATAAAGTTAGGCTTTGTTCTGTATTTGAAAACTGCGCTATGCAAAGTAGTTGACTTATGCGTTGCTCTGATTGGTTGTTGGTCTACCGACTATCCAATTGAGTGCAGAATTTGTTTTTTTCCTGGTTCGGTTACGACACGCCTCATAATCAAAGCCCAATGGAGGAGTTTCAGACTCATATTCTCTCTTGAATAAGAGTATGACGAAGTCAGGCTAGAGAATCGATTAATATCGAGAAATTGATATTTATTACCCAGCCCTAATCATTTGTAGGACACAATTCCAGACTATACACATATATTAAGAAGCAATCTAGAGAAGAGGAGAAAAGCAGAGGGAAAAAATGTGTTTGCAAATGTAAACTAATAATTCCTTTTGGTACAAAAGGCAAAATGTTGCTCCATAGCAGTTACCAAGATCTTAAAATAGATTTGGTCTGTTCTCTTTGTTTGAATGAGCATAATGATTATTTTAATTTGCATTGACATGATCAAACACACTGATGGACTGGCCATTTGTGCAGTGTGTGTCCGTGTCTATGGCCCTGTGACCCTGCATTGGAGACCCACTTTAAAGAATAGAGGGATTTAAAAAAATCTAAATACTCACCCACACATTCAGCATGCAGAGATCATGAAGCAACCATCCCAACGACCAGATGTCACTAAACAAAGACAGTATAATTTAGTTAGTTACCTCAATTGATAGTATCACATCTATATGTTCTGATTTTCATTGTGATTTGGTATTCCTGTCTGCTTGCTAGACTGTGTTGTAGTTAATCTCCTTGATTGTTAATTAGTTACACCTGTCCCCATTATGTTAGTGATTGTCATCCTCTGTGTATATTTAAGCTCTGTGTTCTTTGAATTAGTTGGATTTTATTTTTACTTGTCTTGTTTCCGTGTGATTCTCCTGTTAACTCTGAATCTTTAGTCATTTTCAGGAAACACTCAAGGTGTGTGTTTTTACGTAAATAAGATAAGACCCTTATTTCTCGACTGGGGACGCGTCAAGTCTTTGAGCTGCATTGAGACTGACATTTGTACCTCAAACTTTTGTTTGCAATTAAAATTAAATCTTGCAATGTTTTCCTCAAAAACTTTAATTTCTTTTCGACAAAAGAAAGTAAGACATGGACATCCTGGATAACATGGGGTGAGTAAATTACCAGGAGATTTGTATTTGAAAGTGAACTAATCCTTTAATACTGACACTTTTTTATATTTCTATTCTTGACAAGATCACATATCCCATCTCAATAACTAAGGCCGGTCACACACTGGCTGCATGGCCTGAGCGTCGCGTTTTTGTTGCGTGTCAGCTCAGCTGCATCGCGTTTTCTGTGTCTTTGCACACCAGAAGCGTGTCTGACGCGGCACTGCTGCTGCTGCTAGGTGATGTACAAGGAGGATGTATTGTGGGAGCCCTATACTTCATGTTAAAGGAGAACTCCGGTCCAAAATGAACCTTTGGTCTTATAAAACATCGGTACATAGTCAATCGTTCTCTGAGATTTGTTTTCATGATAATAAAATTTAAAGAGTTTTATCTCTAAAAACTGTTTAGCGTATAATGCCAGTAATGGGGGCATTGACTAAGTAAAAAGAAATCGCTAGTTTATACCACTAACAAGGCTCAAAATAGCCCCACACTAACACAGTAACATAATGAGGCTCCATACATGCAAACCGAAGCATTGAGAACTTTGTAAGTGTACAGATCGTTTAATAAGAAGATACTTTATGAAGACAGCTCACTTCGAGTATACAGACAGGAGCCATCTTAGAAAATAGTCTCGATAAGTCGATCCCCGAACGTCGTGCTGAGTGATCTGAACTGTATAAAGTTCAGCAAACTTCTAAACTGTATGAGCGCGTTCGGGGATCGACTTATCGAGACTATTTTCTAAGATGGCTCCTGTCAGTAAGAATGTTCTTCAGTTTCCGGTTGTGGAGATTAAAGCAGAGGAAAACCGAGGAAAACGGGATTATGGCAGAGACTTCAAAATTTACTGCCCTCCCGTCTTTGAAATGAAACTTTAATACGTTTAGATGTAATTTTATATATAGTTATGTTTGTTTAATATAATTTTAAAAAGAAGCATAAACACAACGAGGGGTGTCTGTTTTATCTGTTTTTGTGACTAACGTTTCTTTAGTATAACCATAGAGTATAAACTCCAATATAAATTCTCGGTATAGCATTGGACTCTACGATCGGCGGAAGTAACCCAGCATCCTTACACCTTCACCGGAAATACCGCCGTGCATAGAGCCCATCCTGGCTTAATTTAAACCTGTATGAGAAACCAAGCCTTATGATGTGTATTTTCATATTTATTTTACAAAACACACCTTTTTGAATTGTGTCTGTTTTCACGGATCTCTGGGCTGACATAGAGCTCTGTACCCACAACAGATGTTGCATATTTATCAGCTCTAAAACAGAGAAAACATGTAAATTTAAATGGATGGATCTGACAAAATCCCTTCAAAAATCCTATTAATCCTATTTCATTTCACCTTTGCAGCACTCTTGAGCATCCAAAATCCCCTAGATTGATGTAACCTTCCTCAGTCAGAAACACATTCTAGAACATAAATCATCACATGAACACATAAACACATTCACCTTTCATTTTATTACATGATTAAATGACCTTTGTCAATGTTTACCTGAGGTTTTATATCTCTGTGGAGAACACTGTTCTTATGGAGATACTGCAGAGCCAGACAAATCTGAACAAACCAGTCAATGATCTGCACAGAGGAAACAAGAAAGAAGTCATTTATTCCATGCAATGTACTTGTTTTTATTTGGCATATTTGAGTTCTAAAAGCTTGCATTTGCCATTAGTCTACCATTGTGTGTTACAGTATACCTCCAAATGTATCAATCAGTGTTGAGTATTAAGAGGGATGAGTGATATTAGCTCTTCTCTGGAGTACTTTATAAATAACTAACAAACTGTAATCTTTGGATAACTTCTCTGAAATAAATGTGACAGGTTGCTTGTCCACCAAAGTGTTTTTAGCATATTTTCAATTATTTATTTCATATTTCAATTCTTTAAAAACATTGGAAAATTGAGTAAAACATGGTGCTAATCACTGTAACTCTTTACAAAGCCATCTAATCACAGCGGAGGACAAAGACCCGACCGTTTAATTCAAACCATGCGTTTCTGGATGCGGTCGTTTTCTGTTCTCATTTAACGGCCACGATCACTGTTTCTCTGGGCTTAAGCATGTTGAGACTGCGTTTGTGGGCGGTTCATGTTGTCTCATGTTCTGCTCAGTGTGCCGCTGATGTGCCAGCTGACAGTGTGGGTTTCACGGCAACCCAGCGCGCGTCATTCCCTTTGCCCATTCCCCGATCGAGTTCCTCTTCTGGTGCACCAGTAAAGGGCAACTTTGGCTAATAGCTCTGGTGATCTGAGGATTACAGTGAGCGTTCCCTGATGAGACCACCTCGTCAGGCCCCTCACTCCTCTAGCGCATCACAAACATGCTGACGCTGCGTTAGTGGGTGGTTTATGCTCTTCTATGAGAGCATGACATTGTTGGCATGTTGTTCGTCTTGCCTCTCTCATGAGGGTTTGAGCTCTCAGTGTGCCGTGTTCCAGGGAGTTTGATGGCAACGTTCACTGTATTGCATATCTGGCAGCTTTCGGATAGGATTACTGGTCTTTCTCATGTGTAACCAAGTATTTTTTTTCCAGGGGAGGATCAGATGTCGATCGCTGCATTAAAGAGAGGGCCGCTACGCTCCGGAAATGAAGAAGTTCCCACTGAAATGGTGTATGTGTGCTCCTGCTGAATCAGATTCAGACTTGACAGCCACAGTTTCTTGTGCGGCGCGTAATCGCCTTGCCCTGCCCCGTGCCTGCCCGGATGTGAGTGAAAACATTTTGCCGTGTGGAAGCATATCGGCGCCAAAATGGCAAGCCACACATGTCAAAATCTGTATAAAAGCTTTTTCCACTCTCACTACCCTTGGTGGAGGGGCGCTTTGCTAATTGCAGACCGCCCCTTCTCGGCGTGTTATGGCCACCTTACAAATCTGTGGAAGGCCAAAACACAAGGATAGTTCTGAGTCGGGGTTGAGCTGTGCATAGTGACTGACCATTTCTCCATGCCTTGCCACTCCCGTCACCCTCTATTTCCAGTGAGCAGTGGCATTATGTGGCACGCTTTCTCAGCGTTATCCAATAAGTCACACTGAGTGGGTCTTGCAGAACAGCAGTGACTGACCTTTACACTACGGTCAGGAGAGGAGACTCTGAGCACTGGAAGGGCCAGCAACTGTGGAGTTTTGGTAGATATCCTCATTCGTCAGTCTTGACTTACGTAGTATTGACTGACAAAGGGGAACATCTCGGTTACGTATGGTAACCCATAAGCCCCCTCGCCACAGTTGATGAGCTTCTCTTCAGCGAAATAAAACAAAACTACGACGCACCTTGAATTATCGGATGCCAATGTGCATAGGCTCCTTTAGTTTCCCTTGAAGTAGATAGTCTCAGTCTTGACCTACGTCTCCGTTCCTTCCACGGGGAACGAGGGTTACCATAGGTAACCGAGACGATTGCCTTCGGCTAATTCATGCCTGGCCGATAGGTGGCGCTGGCCGAAAATGTATTTTCCCTTGTTTTTTTTTTTTATCTCAATGGTTTATCCATTTGGTTTTAACCTCTTTCCCTGCAGTAAAACAGTAAATTAAGAATCATTTTGGTACTACACCAGAAACAAACTTTAACCTTCTGGGGTCGACAGTATCGCCGCCGATACCAGATATGTCTTTTTAAAGCTTGTATTCTCTTCTTTTAAATGAAGTAATTTATTAAAAATAGATATTTCCAATTTATGTAATCCATTTCAAACCAAGGAGAGGTACTGTTTTTTCGTTCCTCCCCATTATCTTTTTCTTCTTGAATGATGATTTTTTTATCAAACTTGTATATTTAAGTTCAGTAATTTCACTTAAATAACAATTAATAGGTAATCATCATTGCCATTTAAGTGAGATCACTGAACTTAAATATACAAGTTTGATAAAAATCATCATTAAAGAAGAAAATTTCAAATGGCATTTAGAGGCTTTTGCATCTGAACTCTTCATATATATATATATATATGTATAATATAAACTATATATAATTCTATATACAGTATATACATGGAAATATTTCTTAAATATATACAAGCATGTGTGTGTATTTATATATATAAAATAATTATACACAGTGCACCCACATATATTATGTAAACAAAAACTTTTATTTTGGGTGCGATTAATCACGATTAATCATTTGACAACCCTAATATTTATATATTTAGATTTCTTCCTCTTTATCCTGTTTTTCTTCCTCATTAAGAGACACCTAAATGAAATGCTTTTGTCTTTTGCAGGTCTTTTGTCTCTCTCAGGTGAGAATAGCCTAATTATTCATGATAGGGCTGGCACGCACATTGCCTTGACAAAAAAAAAAAAAAAACCAACAACAACAACAACAAAAAACTTTTTTCACAATTTAAAAGAATCTACTGTATTTTTTTATATGAACGATTAGGCAGGATGATTTTAGATCATTTTGAAGAAAAAACTCTAGGCCACAACATACATTAGTCAAAAGTCTTGTGGATGCATAAATGTGTTTTGTGGCCTTATTTCAGAAACTTTCAATAACCATGCATAACAATATTCTCTCAAAAATACAAACATGTACATAAATGTTGCTCACATATTATGGTAGCCCTGTTTGTGCTAAATAGAGTGTAATTTCGCCTGTGTCATTCTGTGTCAGGGCATGTCAAAACATCTCAAGGACCCAAAAAAACCCTAGACCCCAGAGGGTTAATGCAATGCTTTTGACAAAATACATCATAAAATATAATCAGAGCAACAATTAGCATCACATAATATAATGAACAGCTCTAGAGCAAATGATCTCTCTGACTCAGAGTGCATATTACACTCACCTGTTCTTCTTCAAAAGGTGTGTTTTCTTGTGTTTTCATTTTCTTGTGTAGATCTCCTCCTGCACAGTAATCCGACACAATGTAGAAGTATCCAGATTCTTCATCATAAAAAACATCCAAAAATAAATCCAATGATGTATTATTATATCTTCATTTACAAATATAGGAAATTCCATGTGTATAAACTACCAGTCAAAAGCATTGGACATTCTTTGGAACTTATTTCCAACAACATTTCATCAGCCTCATTCCTCCAGTCGCTGCTTTGCTCACAGGAATAAATTACATGTCACAATATATTCACATAGAAAACACTTATTTGATAAGTCTCTCTTTGTATAATTTAAACAGACACACCTTCAAAGGAGTCCTCGTAACAAACGATATATCCATGCTGCAGATTCTTCAGGATGTTGATTTCGTTTTTGACTGCGTCTAGCTTAAAATTCACATTCTGCAAAGAACATGTTTAATCTATGTGATGTTTATCTATAGGATCTTACACCCATCTTCATAGCATCATTTCCGCTTGTTGCAGGGATCACGTCACACACCCACAATTTGGATTTCTCACAGGTTTTATGCCAGAGTTGGGACACATTTACACACACGCACAGTTTCTTTAGCATTGAACCAGGGACTTTGGTATCTTGCTGTGTGAGATGACAGTGCCGTCCCTAATTAACCTTTGTCTAAGCCCCGCCCCTAGTTACTGTTGCTACATCCATCAAACTTCATCTGCGCTCTGCGTGGCTTATGCTGTAACAGCTCTTCCTGCTGAAATGTTATCAAACTTTTATTAAGCAGCAAATAAAGTGTCCGATAGAAGTAGGCAAAAGGGGCTGCAAAATGCGTTCGAAGGCTATATTCAAGACATACAAACGCAAGAAACAAAAAGGCATCCAAAATAGAGGCAAAAGCATAACGTTACTGATCACAGTCAAAAAATGAACTACCGCATTTCCTACTAAACGAGACGGAGGCTGTGACTAACAATATCAGGGAGCAACACTGTTCATGCAAAGCTGGGTAGGTCTCTATTCACTTGTATAATCGTTATTACAAAGCAAACGGACTACACGAGTACTGTATAATGTTGTATTTATTAGCAGTGTGTGCTAGCGTATCAACAACCGGTATGAGAACCGAAATCGTAACCTAAAACATTATAAAACGGTCTAACTAGTATAACTTCACACTCACAGTAAGGTTAGAAGTAAAAAAAGATGTGCTTGTTTATCTTTGCGGGGTTTTGCTGACTGAGGATGTCCACACAGTTTAATACAAACACGACACTTGTCACTGTCAGGATTTGACTTCGGTTTTGGGAAGGAAAAAAACGGACACCCCCCTCCAACCTCTCTGGGAAACGCATATCTGAGTTACAAATGTCCGAGGCACAACGTTTAACCATATTTTGAATAAAACTTTGACGGTAATAGCCTGCCGAGACCAAA